CTTTCTTGCCAAGAGTTAGTTGAGAAGATTGCAGTTTCATATGCCTTTATTATATAGGACAGGTGAAGACAGACAGGAAGGTGTCAAGGGGTGACAGTCTGTAGGGACTTGGCTTGGAAACTGCAGGGTTAGCATGGCTACTCTGTGATTGGCAACTGATTCTCAGTGAGTGCGTCCAGTGCAACGCACAAAACTCAGATCAAAGTAGGTAGCGCTGAACAGATACGAACAGAGCATGATTCTGTTCTGCGTTGCCTATTTCTTCCCTAAAACACATTGTAGTGTACTGTTTCACTGTAATACGAGATTGTTTGTGACCAGGCGAGCCTCTATGATTTCCTGCTACAGCATAGCAACTGTGCAGCCACGATAGGTTCACACTTGCTACAGACCCAGAGGGGGTGTGAATTAAGAATCTGCTCTGCATGCCATTGCTCTATTATATATTTACGCAGCAAATAGTTGCTGTATTAATGTTCAAATAAACATTACATTACCTTCGGAGAGAACTACACTAGCTGTTTCCAGTCTTCATGCTTATACGTTAGGAGCTTCGTACAGACATGGTAGTGGTACATCAGTCTTCTTATACTGGCCTAACTCTCAGCAAGAGAGCAAATAAAATGTATCTTAATGTGGAACTAATGCTTTAACGTTGGCACTTGACTATACAGTTGAATATCCTTGAATATTCTTGTGTTCTCAGTGTTGCTTGCCTTTGCTACTTGCCAGGTAAAGCTCAGCCAGCTCAATTTGGGGCCACAGCCACTCTGCGGCCATAGAAATCCTCATCAAAGGCTGCCATCGTCCAAATACATCAAAGGGCAGACCTCTGTCTCCTGGCTGGGAAAAGGCAAAGGTTTCTCTCTCTGTGGCTGTGCATCTGTCTGCCTGCACCATTCAAAACTCCAGAAAAATATCTTTTATCAAGCTCCTTTTATAGAGAATTGCCTGGCAATGCAAGTGGGTTTCTCTTCTCAGACTTCTAGCCACAATCTCTGAAACACATGGCAAGTCTAAGAAATGTGTGGTGAGGCTGTAAGTTAACACATGGTCGTATGGTTGCATGCAATGTTTCTGTTCTAAGAAAAATGTGGATGGATGAGTAGCTCCTATATGGCTAATTTCCGATATTTCTGAAGATACAAAGAGATTTTTTCCCCCCGACAATAACTGCTTAAAACTGTTGAACTGACCTGCTCCAAAGAAATTGTCTCTGTGAACAAACAGCAGACTGAAATACGTCACCTCAGAGCATCCTGTGATTGGTTCACTTGCTCTGTGTGAAGCTGTATTACATAAGGTTTTGTAACATGTTCACTGCAGGATTCTGGAGGCTTACAGCTTTTGTTCAGACTAACAGTGCAGGGGAAGATTCCCAGGAAACCCACCAAGTCTTTTGGCATATAGATATAAAGCTGCACATGAAGATGCATGTGCAGAAGGAGCTTCAACCTATGCCGTATCAGGAGAGTTAAATTACAAGCTTCAAAAAAGAGAAAAGAAATGACATACATAAAGCCTTCTTTTACCAGTGGGAGCTGTAAGGGAATGAAGACAGGGGAACCATTACAGTACCATGTAAAAGGATATTTGAATGCTTAATAAGATAGAATTGCAGCAGAGAGTCACGATTGCTAAACAGGGGACAGTGTGGTTTGGGAGCTCGCCTTCAGTCTTTTGGATGTTGCTCTGGATGAAGAAAAAAAACAACAAAAAGAACCCAACACCAGGCAATCCATGGAAAAATGTGAAAAGTACTGAAAAACTGCTTGATTGTGTCTCTATGTGGGAGGTGTTTGATGGGGTCAGGTTGTTTGCAAGAGCATGGAGCAAGAATATGGAAAGAGCTGTGTTGTAGCAGAGTAAAATTCCTCCCACTTGCTTTTTTTTTCTGTGACTGTAATTCTCTTTCTTGTGCAGGATGTTTTATTCTGACTACGCAGTTGTTAATGGCCTATGTGCTTCCTTGTTCGTCATGAGCATGCATTATTTAAAGGAGAAGGAAAGAGCCACAGAAAGAGGAAGAACAATAGCCAGTTACTCTGCTGGTGTGGTGCCATTCATCAGCTTAAGCAATTTTATCTGTCTTTGTTCTTTTTCTTTCGTAATTTGCTTGTTGTAAAAGGGGCACAGTCTCACTTGGCAAAAGCTGAAATGCATAATTTTTCTGTTTTGTTGTGTGTTTGTGGGTGTTATTGTGTGTTCATTTGCGCTGCCGGCTTGTGGTTGTGATGACTGATTATGTCTACCCCCCTCTCTTTTTCTTTCTCTCACACACCCATGCTCACCCACATGCACCTGCCTTGGGTACCTATTTCAATGCACCATTCAATGGATGCATTATATTCATCATCGTACATTATTCAGATTTGAATCAGGGACTGTCAGCTTGCTGACGATCCAGCTTCCAAATTTAATAGCTCGGACAAGAATAGCTTTGACAGCACATTGCTGTGATTCAGTGAATTTCTGTGACACGCTGGCCACCAAATGTAACACCATGTTTCCTTTTCTGACTGCTTGTACTCTGTAGACACTGGATGAATGTGATTACCCCTGTGACTTCTGCAGTGTTTTTTCTGTGGCTAGTTAATATCTGTGGTGTCCTTAATCAGTCTGCCAGCTGTTTTCTGTGATTGTGTCTTCTTGTGTGTGTGCATGTGTCTGTGTAATTGCAGGCTCCGAACACGCAAAGCTGACTCAGGGTTGCTGTTAAGGTGTCTGAGGACTCCAGCAGCCACAATCATGTTAATCCATGAGAAACCATTGGTTATTTGCCTTTATATGCTCAGACAACTGTTAGATTTCACTATTTAATGCAGGGAGGGTTTGGGTAACTGCTGAGATTTACCCAGACTTTGCTGCTGTACAATTTTAATTAAAGAATTCAAATTTAGACATGGAAAGTGGGCGACAAAATTCTTGATGTTATCCCTCGTATTTGTGTCTGCAGCATGCATGAAGCAGTTTTTGCCTCAAGCTTCAGTACACAAGCTTGTTCCGTGCTGATAATTAAAGGTTGCTTAAGTCTCCTATTCATGCTTTGATACAGAACTAATCAGTTTTCAGGTAGCCAGTTTGTCAAGTCACAGTTGTTTTACTGAGAGCCATAGGTCATTTTGTCACACTGCAGTTGATAGAGTGTACTGTCAAGCAGGCTAAATTAAGGTACTTTCCAGTCCTCAGTTGCAAAGTTATGTGCAAAATAACTGCACACTCACATACTCTCATACACTCACTCATGCATGCACACATTATCTAACAGGAACATGTTGTTCTTTCGGCCATATTATGTTTATTCCCATGAGAACACACAGAAAACAGATGACATTCCAGCAATGAAAGATGATCCCTTTCTAATGACAAATGTATCGTTAGCAAATGGAATACATAGTAAGATGAAAAAATGTCACAGTGAAAATAAATACATTTATTGGACAAGCATCTGTAAAAAAGAACAATTTAACATCAAATTGGGGAGTGGGAGATTTTAAAGTATTAGGAATCTAATTTTTCTTTCGAAAAATTATAATTGAATACTAATACATTATCTTATAATATATTGTAGAAATCTTATAATTTGCATGCCTAGAAAATACCCTGTATTTCTTACTGTATTAAACGAACTCAGCAATGGGACACATAGGGGTTGATTCATGCATGCAAGCTCTGATGTGTCCTTTCAAAGAAAACTAAAACCAAATAAAATACTATAGGGTAAGTGTCGACTTCCAAAACAGTAGTCACATGGACCATAAACTATATTGAGCAAAAGACCTAGGGGCGGTTTGTGAAACAGGGCCAAAGTGCAGAGTGAACCAACTGTGTGTGTGGACAAAAACCATAAGGTGAAAGCTAGAGGTGAAGTTGCGAGCAAAAATTACAGAGAAGGCAACTATTGCAGGTGATGGGCTGGCCAGATACTAAACTCATGAGACCTGCTCCTATCATCAGTAGACTCAACTTTTATGTAGCTGAAATATACCAAGGTTGAATATCTTTTAAATATTTCAAACAAAAACAAAACAAACATAAAAGGATACATGGGGTATTTAATTTTGCTTGTGGAGCACTTGCAATATTCATGTGTGTGGTGTATAAAAATCAAGAACATTTCAAATAGCAGTTGAACATAAATATTTCACACAAATATTTGAATCTAGATTTGAATGTCACTTTTAACTAGGACTGACATGCATCAGCCAGTAGCGGTGCCTAGGTGGGTGCTTAGGTCAGTGTGGAGTCGACTCATGGGAAATTGTGCTTTAAGTACCAAGAAAAGGGCTTGGAATTAATGTTTTAGTTGCCGCAGTGGAAAAAGGGCATTAAATCTTTAACCAGTTGAGACGTTTTCAAAATAGTCAGTCAGTAGCATACTGTACAGCTTTTACCAGCATTTGCCTTGTTCTTATTGTTAATTTCAAACCCTGAAAATGAGTATAAAATGAGGTACTAGCTGGTTTCTTTTGGGTCAAGGCTCCCAGTATGTTGGGGAGACAACCAGACAAACACAGTGAGAGTATTCATGACGGTACAACCATGAGGAAGATATGAACACAGAAAACCAAGTTGGATAGCGGTTGCCAGTACACATTGCCTTTTATAGAACAATTTCCTACATCTTCTCTTGTCTATATGCAAACTAGAAGGCTTATACATTTCCTCCTAGGTGAATTGTGTTTCTGACACAGGATAATAACAACACTGACAGAGAAAGTAAATAATAAGCCCCCACATTAAAAAAGGAAAAAAAAATCAATAACAAGGTTCCATTACCACGCAGAAGCTGCTGTCAGACACATTAGCTGAGTTATGAGACTGATACTCTGATCAAATGAAGCTGAATAAACACACTCTAAAATGAGAATATTGGAGTATCCATAATAAGCCCATGGAACTCTTGTCATGGCTACCAGTTTCAGCTCAAGTTTACATTATACAACTTGAGCTGTTATAGCAGTTAGGTGGTCATTGCGATTATAAAAAGACAATCTGAACCACCAACCTTTAAGTGTAGGATATAGATACTGTACGTGTGTGTCTGTGTATGTGTACTTACGTGTCTACAAAACCAATCTATACTATAGATTGACACTCTAGTAGAGGAGTATTGCATGAGTCGGGGGCTGGAGACGGATGTCTTGTATCTCCAAGCATTGCAATGGAACAAGCTGGCCATTGACTAAATTAAGCATTATATTGTTCTGTCCTCCTGTCCAGTCTGTCCTGGGTTTTTAGCTGATGTGGCTGTCAGTCACATCAGTCAGGTAGTCCATCAGCAAGGGGCGGCTCCTCCAAAGCAGCAGCTGAGCCATTTGTCTCTCCTCTGTCAGCCCCTGAATCTCTCTCCTCTTTGTCCTCATCCCGGCTGAGTGGGTCCGGTTTGGACAGGCGGTCTAGGGGGTCAAAAGTATGCATTTTGGGCTCAGGGCTAAGGAGTGAAAGCTGAGGCAATAGCGGCCCCTCCCGAAGCTTTGCAGCTAGCTCCTTGGCACTGCAGGTGGGCGTGTTGGTCTCGTAGATATCGTGGAAGTTGTTGTAGTCTACCTCATAGAAGCCCTTCTCCAGGGAGAGAACCGGCGTGAAGCGGTAACCCCAAAGCACCTCTGTGTCCAGGTAGGAGCTCCGTGCCTGACATGTCATCCCTGTCATAGGTAAGGATAGGCGTATGTGCACACACACAAACATGCACACAACATCAATATATAGCACAAGTATGTACACAAGGTATGAAAAGAGATGAGCACACACACACACACACACACACACACACACAGATGGAAAGAGGTGTAAGGAGAAAGAGAGACAGCGTCAGTAATTTATTCATGGTTATACAGGAACTGCACACATAAAGGGCCAAGACCTGCACAGTGTTTCCTCTAAAGCTACATTGTGTTTTCAAATGCAACAAAGCTGGAAATGCCACTTATCTAAATAAAAAGGTTTAGTTTTCTTTTTAGAAAGTATAAGCTGTTTGGCTGATTGAAATAAATGCTGTATTTGCAGTCAGAAAAAAAAAATTGGCAGCAACTTGTTTTGCAAATGGAAAGAGAGAAAGGCTAACACGTCTGTAATGTCAGATATGAATTTTGACACATTGGTCTGTTTTCGGAAAAGTGTGAAATTTGTAATCATAGCATCAAAATCACAGTTGTGATGAAGCCCTTTAAGTGACGCCCCTTGCACAAGCACGCCCTGGAACACATTCATCTACACAGAACCCAATAGTCTGTTACAGTGAAAAAGGTGTAGTGGAGAAAGCTGAGCTGCAGATAGGTATACAGTGTATTCACCTCTTGTGAAACAAACACACAATCACAAATAACATAGCTCAGCCATTGTTACTGTAAGGTATACATCTTAGGTTTAGCGGTAACAAGAGGCTTTCTCATTAGCTATTAGCAACTATCTTCTGTCTTGTGGATTCATTATTTGCATAAATAATATGTAAAACAAATATTCATAAACTGCCCTTTAATGCCAGCTTGAATTGCGAAGGCAATATGAAGAGAGGTGGTGCAGAAATAGAGACAGATAATGCTACATGTCTGACAAGAAACTAGCATCTAATCCAACATACTTTCCAAATTTATTAAAAGTTTTAAATGCTCTGTCCTCTTAAGAAGGCAGGACTGTCATCTTCCATTTCTCACTCATCACTATTTCACACAGGTGTATCATGTTTGGCTTTTTAGACTTATGGCTATTAAATTAGCCACAAACTACTACACAACTTTTGACAGCCACCTTTTAACCCCACAAGAGGTGAGTGATACTCCAAAAACAGACTTTGGGTGGAGTATCACTTTAAACTGGAAACATCTGACTTTCCATACATGCCTCGCTAACCCAGCTGTTGATTTACACAATGTTCTGTCTCTGTAGATGCAGAACATCACTAATAACATCAAGTATGTGCTCTAAAATATATGTAGATGCCAAACTGATATGGTGTCTAACGCCAAAGTGAGAGGAGGGGCTTTTGCACCTTTTTTTCCACTCTCCCTCTGGATATGAGTGGCCTAGTTTCCACATTTAACTTGTGATATGTTTGTTATTTCTGTGACAAGATCATCAAAGACACTATATCGTCTTTCAGTCCCAATGAGAAGGATTTTCTATAGCGTGTGTTGGACTACTAATTTGTTGGTTTCAAATTACAGTCCAAATCCATGAAATTGTGTTGGGATGATCTATTTTGCCCTATTAGCATTTAAAGAGGGTCCATCGAGTTTTGTCGTTTTTATTACGTTTTTGTCGCAATTTAAAAGTTCATTTGCCTTTGACTTAATACTTCATAGACACTGCTACACTATTTTGTTCATGCATTAGTGTTGTGATTATGAAAATACATTTTGATAGCACTTATTTCCTGAGGGATTAGATCAAAATGAACAGCCTGTTCGAGAGACCGAATCAGTTCACAAATATGAACAAGTACCACCCACATCTGCCTCACGCATACGCACACACATTTTCGGGTACAGCAGACCATCCGTAATTGAAGACTGAATTAGCCTTTTCGTCTTGCATCGTTTGTAAAAATACCTGTTCTTATGTTTTATACATTTGAAAAATCTGCTGCAGGGAGCTGTGAGTAGCGTAGGAGACACTTGTGCTGTGATATGTTCATGTGCGTCAAGACTTAACAGTCAGCAGATGAGCAGCAGCCGATGTAATAAAAGAGGTTACAGAATTCACATTATTAAACCGTGTGTGATTTTCAGGTTTCATTTTATGAAAACCAAACTTGTGAATGCGCTGATGTATGGCAGCTGACACATCTTCAGCAGCTCCTACACTGTGTCCCATATTTATTTTATTGTTCATTATTTAAACTTTGGAAATACAACTCAACTCATAGTTTCACCTATTTTTTTTATTTTTTATTATAACTGCTGACTTCTATTCTGTTATTGTGTTCAGCTGTGGTTCGTCACCAGACAAACAATAACAGCAAGAAACAATGAGAAAACAATGGTGTCTTGAAAGGGAATTTGGTTGCTTCTTGCATTACAAAAGCTGTACTGGGGATTTCCACAGCATGTACACGCACATTCAGCTTAGCATTACCGAAACAATCAGAGCAGCCAGAACACTTTCCAACTCAAATGTAGTGAATGGGATAAAAGAACCCGCATTATTTTTGAATATAAATAGACATTTTGACTTGTCAAACACAGGTGTATTTAATAACTTTAAAAATGACTGCTTCCCATTTAGGTGTGTCAGTTAAAGGGGCATGGCATTGCGCTTGGTGGTTTACTGGCACACCAATATGGAAAACGGCCATCATTGATGTTGTTAACATGTCAGAATGTCATTGCAGGTTTAACTGCAATCACAAGGGCTGCTGCTTCTCACATCATAAGGGCTTATGACCTCCACCCCAGCAGCCACTTGCAGACTCAAGTTCCCCTCTGGAAAAGTTTTTGTTGTTACTACTCAATCTCCTTGCAGGCAGTGACAAGTCAAATATCATCACTGTACATATTTTCCGTTCATGTAAAATTCTGTTCCAGGATAGCTGGCTGAGTAACTTACTGTTATTCAGACAGAATATCAATAATAAATGAATTATGAAACCTTAAGGCCTCCGCACACCAACCCGACGGCCGACCGTCGGCAGAAAAGCAGTTGGA